GGCGCATGCTCATTATTGGGAGGAAGGATGGAGATAAAATGGATTCGTTTAAAACTCTATTCCTTACTCTAAAATATTGAGCATGCGCCGCCAATGCAGTTGATTATGTGTTCATATGAGACAAAGTTGGTCAGAAAATTTGGTTTTTTAAAGTTGTATCTCATTTACACCGAAAAATTTGAATTTCTGTAGTATAACGTGCATTTTTCGTTAGAAATAACATTTCAACCACTTTTGTGCATGAATTTAACAAAACTGGGCAGAAAAAACGACAAAAACGCACAAAATTCAACTAAAAGTCGCTACTTTTGTTCAAAAAACGTCAAAAATCGGCATCTCTGTCTACTTGGACAGTGTTATTTTTCTATCTGGTTAACATTTTCCTTCATTTAGCCCCAAACAGACAGAAAAGTGAATTAACGTTAAAATTGACTTAAGTAATGTGATTGGTGTATTACTTAAATAAATTTTAACGTTAATTCACTTTTTTGTCTGTTTAGGGCATTATACAATTATGCTTTCAATAAGATCGAATAAATCAAATGAGCATTGAAGATTCATAGAAATATTATAAAATCTATTTTTCATCGCAGGTTATCATTGATTGAATCTGATAAACTCAAAAACAACACAAAAAATGTAACAATGTAAAATAGCCATTAAGTATTAAATTGTATGTTCCAAATAAAATCTAATCTAAGTGTCAACAAGATATAATTAACTAAGTTGCCAATGATTGCATTATTATTAATCTTTTTACGGAATCCAATCATTGTATGAACATGATATATAAGTAGAATATATTAGAACAAAGCACTGTATTAATTTTTGTTTTTTTTTTCAATATGTATAAAAGTTAGTTTACGTACTGGTCATTTTCATAGCAAAATAACTAACTGCATATCGTTCTTCTAGCATAAAAAGTAAATATCTGATTAAGTCCAAATATATTCATGTGATAGAAAGATTCAAATTCACATCAAAGGTTGATTATGAAAATTAGAGAATGTTGAAGCATTAAAAAATAATGATCACATTTATTTATCGTTCTACTGCTGTTGTGTCTTGTTTTTCATGCATATAATTAATCTGGGTAAATGTGGATGAAGGCTAAAATACTTCTTTTTATAAAAAGTCTATCTCTGTCAAAAATCGAGTTTTATTCCAGAAAATCTGTTGTTCATGCAACTTTTCTGAAATAGTTTCTCACGTTGGATAAATCTTCTTAAAACAACGAGCTTGAAACATTGAATTTTTCATGCACTATCTTCAAACTGAAGAGGAGTAATTTCGAGATTTCTTTTTTTTTGATTGTTCAGTGAGAGCTTTTTAAGAATATATAGATGCAGATGTCGATTGATGGACAACAAGACATCCAAACCCATACCCATCCATACTCAAATTAAACTCGGTAATTTATGAAAAAATTACGGAACAGAAAATACTGCAGAAAGTTTATTTATATTGTTCATATGTAAATTTCGTTGATTTAATGAATTAATTTTGATCTTTTTATCATAGTCTGAAATTATGTGAAGAGAATCCTACAAGCAACGAATTGATGAAAAATTATGACATTACATATTTTTAGCTGTGTCGAATGAAAACGTAATAATTTCGAGCTGCAGTAGGCCTTTTAAATGACTTATGATTGTTTATTAACAAGTTTGAATTCTGATAGAGATTTGACTTTGATAGAAAAAAATGCGAGTTGATTTTTTTCAATATAGTAGTTAATCCTAAAATTAAACTAAAATTTAATATCAAAATATAATTTTATTACAATAAAAAAATTACAATTAAACGTGTGAATCAAGTAAAAATGTGTCTTTTCTAAAAAAAAAAAAAAAAGAAGTTCTTATGGTGATGGTCGTTTTGGTTTGATTCTTTCTAAACGTTCTTCTAATTCTTGAATTCTTTTATCTTTGGTTTTTATAAGAGTTTCACATCGTTTTAGTTTGCCTCTAAGAATATCAATTTCTTCATCTTTAGCTCTTAAAGTGTCATCATAAAGAAATGGATCAACATGTCTTCCGCCTTTAGCAAAATTAGCATAATTAGGTAAAAGTCCCATTCGTCTTGGTGTACGTGGTGTCATTAATAATTGTGGTAAACGATAACGTTCAACATTAAATGAACGCCATGTTTCCCATTGTAAACGTGATTTTCTTCCAGTACGAATTAAATGTTCTTCAATTTTTTCACGTAAATGAAGAAGAAATAATTCAACAGCACGATTATCTCCATTCGTTATATCATGAACAACAGTGCCTGGAGCATGTAAACTTAATTTAGGTAAAACATCAGAATTTAATATACGCCAATTTTTAGTACGTTGAGACATATTTCGTGCAATATTAAACATATCCAAATCAACATATTCAGGAAAAAAATAAGCTATTATTTCAGCTACTAATATTCCATCAGCAAAATCTGTATCTAAATGACGTACTGGATGAGATAATGGAATTGTATCAAGCCATGCTAATATATCGTAATAAGCTGTTGTTTGATAATGAGGTAGAGGTTTGTGTCCATTCATTGTTTCAATACTTGCATCAGACATGTCAAATTAAACAAACCGTGTGTTCAATGAAATAAACGAACTACTAAATAAAACTACAATTATTATTCAAAATTCAATCTTCATTTATTTTTTTGTCTGTAACAATGAAATTCAAAAAAATGACTAAAATTTTTACTTAAAAAATACTCACATCGTCTATAAAGACATTTTCAACACAGAAAGTTTTGTTTTTAATATCGAGAATTTTTATTATTTAAGTTAAAAAATAAAAGAAAGGTTAATCAATCAAACAGAAAAAGAAAAGATTAATGGCAAATTATTTTTCTTTGTCAATAAACCAAATCTTACTTTTTTGTGTATTTAACAAATATAAACAATAACAATCAATTAATTCTTATTTAATTGACAATTGTATTTTTTTTCTTCTTAAAATTATCTTTCTAATAGAAAAGATTTTTAATTTTTCTAAAAAACAAAACAAGAAAGATCATATGAAAAACATATCTATCTCTATCAATATCAACGATTGATAAAATTCAATAAGGAAAAACAAGGGTGTCTCACTGTATTCGGTTAATTTAAAAAAAAACATGATTTTTTTTCTTTTGCTTTTTTTTTAAAAGCACTCTAAAAATTGTTAACTTACCACTGTTCGATTAATTCAACAATGTTGCACTTCATCACAATGCATTGTCTTTCTTTTCAACAAAATAAATTGTCCGTCGTCGTTATTTATTATTTGATCAAATAGAAGCGACAAAGAAAAAGAAGTAACAATGATTTCTTTTTCTCCCGTGACAACAATTCATATAAGAAAAAAAAGTAAGA